AAAACAATTTTTTACCAAACATGATTTGTTGTTTTTATGTTTTTTAAAGATTCTAAAACCTTTTGTATTGTTTTTTTTAAATCTCTTCGTAGAGATTTTAATTTAAAAAAAAATAACTTTAAATGATTTATTATTTTTCTCATTTCCCAAGATTATTTCAAACCTTTTTTAGATTTATATATAGTTTATAACTAAAAACTTTTGGTTCATCAATTATTATTATTTTTTTTCTATTCTTTTAATACCCATTATGTAAATCAATAAATTATCAAAGTTTTCAAAATTAATTAAAAAATGAATGAAAAGAACGAGATAAATCATTAAGACCACCTCCAATGTATTTTTTTTATTTTTAACTCTAGAATTTAAAAAATTATATCATTCCTCTAGTTCTTCTCTAGTGTATCTTAATGATAATTCAAAACTTTTTCCTCTATATATAGATGAATCATATAATTTTCTCTATTATAGAAGTAGACATAAAGATGGGTTGAAGTAGATTTTACTTTAAAATAAAATTTAGAAAGAAAAAAAATAGATGTGGATTAGAAATGCCATAAAACAACTCTCTTTGATTGAACGAGTTTTGGGAAAAAATAAATGTCATTTATAGTAGTTCTACACAAAATATTCTTCATCATATCAACGATTATTTTAAAACTGGTTTGAATTGGACTTACTTAAAAATAATTATTAAAATAACAGTCACAACATCTTTTACAAATTTTATTACCAAACAAGTTTTTATTAATATTTAAAACAACAGCCACAACACTAACAACCAAAATCTCTGCAGCCAAAAATCTAAAGTAAATGTCTACAGTAAAAGTCATTACCAAACGCCCCCTAAATCTGTAGCAAAATTATTATCTTTAGGCAGTCCAATACTCAAGGTCGGTCCTGGTCCCAATTTCCAAATCTGAAGTTTTATAAAATGTTGAAAATGATATATAGGTCTAAATGGTAACAGCGAAATCTGGCTGAATTTTGCTGAATTGCAGAATCTGCCTGAATTTTTAGTGATTTCTTGTAGATTCTGGCAGAATCTCTTAAAATGTAAATGGTAACAGCTGGCTGATTCTTTTTTTTTTTAAATTAATATTTATATAAACCTATAAAAATTAGTTAAATAGTTTTATTAGTTAATAAACTAACAAAATATTAAATTTTAAATATATATTTAATAATTTATCAAACATAAAATAACAACATAATTTAACGAGAAAATTTGTAATTCAAAAAAATTAAAAGATGAATTTATCTTATAAATAGATTAAATTAATCCAAATTTCAATAAAATTTACGCCAATTGTTAAATTTTCTGTTCAGAAAAACATCCTTATAGTTTTCTTTAAATTATACTAGTACAAATAATTACCTAAATATCCAATCGAATCATATCAAAAAAATAAAATTAAAATACATGAACAAGAATATTGTTTTTAAAGTAATAAAACTATCTAAAAGTTCTAAAATTACAATAATTGTTTTAATTTTTTCAAACAAAAATATCTATAAATTATCCAAAATTATTTGTAACTACATAAAATATCCAAATATGATAAAGTCTTTATGTGTTTGATAATAATTTTAAATATCCGAAATCATATATATTATATTCATATTATCCAATTCATTTTTAAAAATATATATATTCGATGTATTTTCTAACTCAAATATCCGCTCTTATCCAATCTATTATCCAAAATAAACATATTTATACATCACTTGGTGTTGAAAAAATTTATTGAATATAGCTGAATTCAAGTGAATCTTGCAATATATTTTTTACAGAATTGCTGAATCTAGCTGAATCTAGTAAAAAAATTTTATACTGTAAATGCTAACTGCAGAATTGCTAAATTCAGCTGAATTTGACATATTTTTTTTAATGTCACCATTTACTCTCGTAGTGTAACAAAAATAATAATTGTTGAATCAACTTAGCATGCAACCTAACTGCCGCTAGACTTAATTGAGATCGCCAACCCCACCACGGCAATTGCTTTCAGACCTGAAATGCTTGATGCTGGACAAGCAAAATTTTAAATTCAATTTAAAATTCAATATACTTTCTATTAGTAATGTTGTAGGTTTGTAGCCTTGTTGGTTTCAAAAAACAAATAAAAATAAATATGTTGTAGCCTTGTAGGTTTATTGCAAATACGTCGACTACAACGAATCTATAGATAATGGTTTGTGACGTTTGTCTCAACCTCTTATTTCCAAAGAACCTATAGATACGATTTAGTTACCTACGTAATTATGTTGTTAACTATATTATGCTCCTGAGATTTTGCCCATAGGCTATAGCTACATAGTAATTTAATTACTGTATATTACTAAATTTACGCAAGTGTTAGATCAATAATTGTACTACTTTTGTAAGAGCAAGTCCAACCGGACTATATAACATCATAATTGGTGTCAAAGTTCCTCCAATCGAACGGTATATTTGACACCAAATTTTTTTTTTTAGTGTTTTGTAAACAGTGCCACACCATATTTAGTGGAAGATTGTAAATATAAAACAATCAGGAGACTTTCGACAATCCCAAATGATCTCTATACATATCCCAATCAAATCCAAAAGACACCATTTTGGTTTGGACACATCTTTGCTTTTTTTTTTTTTCACTTCTTCCTTTGGACGCAATTATAAATATATTTTAGTCTTGTCTCA